GGTCCCTGCCCGGCGAGACTCATTCGTTCGACACGGATTTGTCGGGCGCTGGGGACGCGGCGGCCAACAGGACAGGCGCGGTTCCATCCCTCGCAGGCCCGGCCCTGCAGTGCAGGCAGTCCGCGAGGAGTGGGGGACACCTACCCGCGCCCCGGGGAAGGTGACCTCCAACCCCCGGGGAGAGAGGGGCTGGGGAAGTCGGGGTTCAGTCATCCTAGGTGGGTGGGAGGCCGAACCCCAGAGGAGGGGCCCCTTCCCTGTGCTGGAGTGGCCTGAGGCCACAGCGAAGGGCGCCTGGAATGCCCCTCTACCCAAGGAGCTGGCCTCTGTCCCCAGCGCCCATGAAGGGATCTCAGCAGGGCTGACAGGGTGAGACCTGCCTCCCCTGGTTCTCTGGTCAGTGTGGAAGGACCCCTCCTGGGCAGGGCAAGTGAGGCTGAGGTCAGTGGCCCCAGCTCCAGAGTTGGATGCACAGGGGCCAGTGGATCCCGGCTGGGGTCCAGGAGAGAGTCCAGCAGGGCCTTCCCATGCTAAGTGTCAACCTATGTTCAGACCTTTCCCATCCTCCTTCCCAGCTTTATGTTGGCGTCAGCCACACACTTGCCCTGTTTCCTGCTGAGGGGTTGCCGGCCCCTCCACTAGAGAACAGGTCCCTGAAGGAGCCGTATCTCCAGGCCCCAGAGGGCCTCCCTCCAACCTCAGTGAATGAGGGAAGGACTGAGGGGTGCCAGAAGCCTGAGCTGGGGCAGAGGGCGCGGGAAGATGGGGCCGCCCTCCACCTGGGCCAGCAGGGATGACCATAAACAGGCTCTTTCCTCCCCACCTGTCCAGTGTGGGGACCTCAGGATGTCCAGGCCGCCCGGAGGAACCCTGAGCAGGCCCTTCAGTCCAGCTGCCTTTCCTACTTCCAGATGCTCAGCTCTCCCGGGAAGGCCGCGCTCAGGCTAACGCCTGGAGGAAGTGCTCGCTGGCTGGAGGGCCCATTCTGTGGAGGAAGTGGGGAGAGCATGGCCCCACTTCCTCCACAGAAGTGGGTCTAGGAGCTGGGTCTAGGCTCACAGCTGGAGGGACCCACTATAGGCTTGGGAGCAGGATGTCCCCACTGTGAGGACCAATTCAGAGTGGTCGCCAGAGAGAGACCCATGGTGAGGGCTCAGCTCACAGCCAGGCCTGAGCTGTGACGAGGCAGCAGGACCAGCAGGTGGCTGGAATGAGTCACAGAGAAGGAACTGAAATCCTCTAGAAACCCAGGTCTCATCCCAGGCATAGTTGTTGGTCACTGTCTATGTGGCAGACCCTGTGCTGGGCACTGGGGCCCCACCAGCACTGTCCACAGCAATCCCATGGAGACGGCTCTGGGGGACACACATGGAAACAGCTGCCGGAGGAGTCGGGGGCTTTGGGGGCTTTGCAGATGGGTGCTTTAGTGAGCACCTCCTGTGTGCCAGGCCCGTGGGGATGTAGACAAACCCCGCCAGGGGGAGCTCACACTCTGGTGAGGGGAGGGGGACGTGAGCCATAAACAAACAACATGTGAAGGTGGGATATAACGTGCCCCACGAGCAATATGGAAGATGGCACAAGTCAAATCCACCGCCTCCCAGAGGGACCCAAGGAGAAGAAGGGAATGAGGGTTCTTGTTCTTCAGTTCTGGGACTGACCCAGGGCTGCTCTACCCCGGAGCCACACCCACAGCCCTTTCTAGTTCTCATTTTGAGAAGGCTTCACGAAGCTGCCCAGGGTGGCCTGGGACTTGTGGTCCTCTTGCCTCGGAGTCACTGTGATCATGGGTGGGGGCCACCACGCCCCACTGAGCCGTGAGGTTTTTCATGGAAAGGGGGCCTCACTGAGAAGGGGTATTTGAACAGTGAGCTGAAGAAGGGGAGGAGCGAGCCACGGGGGAAGTGGCCCTGCCACCCTGGGTGGGCCACCTGCCGCTTCTGGGGGGAAAAAAAAAAGGTTTATTTTGGCTCCAGGTTCTGGAGGTGCGTAGTCCAGGGTGTATCGGGCACTGGCCCTGCTGCCAGAGCCCCAGGCAGTGCAGGGCGTCAGGTGGAAAGAGGGGTGTGTGTGTGTGTGTGTGTGTGTGTGTGAGTGACCAGATTCACCTGGACTCCACCTGGTGACCTCACCTCATCTTAATCACCTCCCCAAAGCTCCCCTCTAAACCTTTAGTCGGATGAAGCTTCCACCTCACAGTGAGGCCTTGGGGGACCCTCAGGCCACAGCACACAGCAAGGCAAAGCTGGGTGACAAGGGCAGACTGGGTCTGACTGCATCTAGCTGGAGCCCTCCCTGTTGCAGACCTGCCAGAGGGGACCTGCCAGAGGGGTCCTGCCAGAGGGGACAGCAGCCGCAGCCAGCGGGGGTGGGGCAGGGCAGGTTAGGCAGGGGAGGCCTGAAGAGCGCCCACCAGGCTGGGGTGTCCTCTGGGGTAGTGACACTGCCAACGGGCCAAGGGAGGCCTGAGGCAGGAGAGGGAGGGCGGTCAGGGTTTTGACCCCAGCAACCGGAAGCAGGGGGTTTCTGTTTGCTACAGTGGGCAGTGGGCCGTTTGGGGAGGAAAGCAGGAGTCCGTTCCTGGACCAGTGAGGAGTGAAATGTGGAGTGGACATACAAGCAGAGATGCGCTGGGGGTGCTGGACTCTGGAGAGGGGGCAGGGGAGGCTTCCTGCAGGGTCTGGATGAGACCACAGGGAGCCAAGCAGCCCAAGAAGGTCAGGCCGGGTGATGCAGGGGTGTCTGTGACAAGTGGGGGGACCACCAGGACGGTGGGGCGTCCTAGGAGCGATGGGAGGGCAGGAGGACAGGGCTTAGAAAGAGGGAGAAGCTGAGGGGCGGGCCAGGCAAGGGTGTCTCAGGCCCCCAGGGTGGGGACGGCCTGTCAAAGGTGCTGGGCCTTCCCAGCGGACACGCCCCCTGTCCTGGCCGGGTTTTCTGCCCAGTCCCTGAAGATGCCTCAGCCGGAGCCATCCAGGACGGAGGGCTCAAATCACAGTCCCCAAACACCCTGCCCCTCCTGGGAACACCGGCTCCAGTCCCTTCTGCCTGGAGTTTGGTGGGTGAGGGGGCCCTGGAGGAGCCTGGGAGTTTGAACGGCCATGGACCAGACTGTGAGGAGGCAGGGGAATGGCTGGGGCTGTATCTGGGGTGGCAGAGGTCAAGGGCAGCTCCCTGCTGGGGGTCAAAGGCTGGTGGCTGCCAGGACCCCCAAGGCAGGGCTGTACATCTGAAGTGGGGGCCTCCTGAGGAGGACCCGGTTTCTGGAGGAGAGTTGTGAGCTCAGATATCAGATCTGAGATGTCTCCAAGGCACCCAAGGGAGGATGTTGAGTTTCACGTTAAAAAAGAAAAATATTTTTAAAAAGGTTATAAACCCGTGTGCATAGATTAATCAAATAAATACAGCCCTGTAGGAAGCACTGGGAGGCTGTGCCCCAAAATGTCCTCGCTCTCATTAGTAAGGGTGACATTACATCGCTTTAATTTTATCCTTGCATCTGCATTTTCCTCGCTCTTTATTGAGATGTAATTCTCATGATCAAACTCATCATTTTCAAGTGAACGATTCAGCAGTTTTTGTGTTCGCTGAGCACCTACCACGCCTGCCCCCAGGCCCTCCCCTGCGCTCTACACGGACTCTTCTCCCCAATTCCATGCTTTTGAGGAAGGGAGGAGGAGGATGCCTTCCCGACCCCCTGAGGGCTTGGCTCCCTGGCCAGACTCCCCAGGCCTCCAGACGGTTAGGTCAGAACTGGCAACAAGGGGCTGGGGATGTGGCTCAAGCGGTAGCGTGCTCGCCTGGCATGCATGCGGCCTGGGTTCGATCCTCAGCGCCACATACCAAAACTAAAAAATAAATATTAAAATTAAAAAAAAAAAAAAAAGAACTGGCAACAAGCTGGCCACCGAAGCTATCCCCAGAGGAACAACTAGGGTAAAAGTCCCCTCCACCCAGCGCGAAGGAGGAGGGGAACACCTGATTGGCAAAGAGGGAGAAGGTGGCCCCCAGCCCCCCCATGAACATCCAGCAGGGAGCTCCTCCTCTGCGGGGCTGTGACCTCCAGGTGACCTCCAGCCCCCAGCCCATATGACTTATGTGACATAGGGGTGCTGCACAAGTCTTGCTGCTCTGAGATTAGGGGGATGGGGTGAAACAGAGGGCACCTGGCTCCTTAGCAGCTGGCATGAGGGTGGCTGTGATTTGGCCCATAAAGACGTAGGGGCTCCCATGAACCCTCAGCATGGAGCGCGATGCTCAGGCCCAGGCTTAGCCCTTGTCCTTTCTGTCCCTCATTATTATGTGACTTTGGGCAAATTACTTCCCAGATCATATGGGAATAATAAAACTGATAGTATGAGGGAAGAGTTTAAAAAACCAATACTTTATGCTGTGTTTATTGCTGCACTGTTCACAAGTAGCCAGGGTATGCAGTCAACCCCAGGTGTTCATCCGTGGATGAAGGGATTAAATGTGGTACATCCACACAGCCACGAAAAGAATGAAATCTCACTGGGTACCACCGTGGCCCACTCCTGTAATCTCAGCCACTTGGGAAGCTGAGGCAGGAGGATTGAAAGTTCCAGTCAGCCTCTGCAATTTATCAAGACCTTGTCTTAAAATAAAATTAAAAGGACTGGGATATGGCTCAGCGGTAGAGCACTTGCCCACCATGCACAAGGCCCTGGTTTCCATCTCCAGTACCATCCAAAGAAGAAAAACATAAGTCAGATGGGAAGAATTACATCTTCAGCCCAGCGGGATGTCCACGGTTTATAACAATTTGTTACATAACTTACAAAGAATCAGAAGCAAGACAATCCTAGGCTCTCCTGCAAAGAAATGATAAATGTAAGGAGTTAGAGATGTAACGCCCATATTTGATCATTGTACATTTTATACAGGGGTAAAATCATCCCACTGCACCTCGTAAATATGTGCAATTCGTCTTTTTCCATGTGTGTGGCGATTCATCTTTTTCCATGCTTCGCTCGGGCACAGGACGGGGAGTTGGTCCTCGAGGGCTGGGGTGCAGCAGGCAGAGTTCCAGTCCCAGATGTGGGAGGCCCTGGTCCGTCCCCAGCGCTGAGGGGGAGACAGTGTCAGAGTTTTCTTAGCAAAGAAGAAAAAGATGAGCCCCTCAACAGAAATCTGGGGAAAGGGTCTAACTGGCCATACAAAGGAGGGCCTCAGGGGGCCAGGCCCTGGATGAGAGGGTCCTCACAAGTCATCAGAGAGAAGCAGACCCACTGACTGTGTGAGAGTGAGGGATCTGCGCCTAGATACGGTGTGTAAATAGAAGTACTAGGAGAAGTACTAGAAGTCCACTAGGA